CATTTCTAAATCACGCATATGTGTATGGGTCTCTGTGTGTGTGTGTGCGTGCACATGTGTACCTGCACACGAGTGTATTGGTCAGAAGAGAGTGTCAGGCTCCCTGGAGTTGGAGTCACAGACAATTCTGAGGCATTAGCATGGGTGCTGGGGACAGAAATCGCTTCCTCTGTCCAAGAGCGTATACACACACTTAACTGCTGAGCCGTCTCTCCAACCCCTAATCATGGTGTTTTTTTAAAGGGACGAAAAGCAAGTAGACTGGATGGTGACTAACCTGCAGCTTTTGTTCTTTCTTTTTGGAGTACTGGAGAGCAGACTCAAGATCTCATTCATGCTAAGCGAGCATTCCATCTCCGAACCACGTCCCAGCTTTGCTGCCACGTGTGAGACTCTGGGTTGGTTTGTTTGTTCTTGTTTTTTGTTTGTTTGTTTTTCATTTCCTTTTTCGAGACAGGATTTCTCTGGGTTGCTTTGGAGCCTGTCCTGGAACTAGCTCTGTAGACCAGGCTGGCCTTGAACTCACAGAGATCTGCCTGGCTCTGCCTCCCGAGTACTGGGTTTAAAGGTGTCCGCTACCACCACCGGGCCCAAACTCTGGGTTTATTTCCAAGAACCTCAGAAAGAACTTTGTGTTTGTTTTCAGAGACAGTGTCTTAGCCTGGCAGTGGTGGCATAAGGCGTTATTTATTTTATTTATTTATTTTATTTTTTCAAGACAGGGTTTCTCTGTGTAACAGCCCTAGCTGTCCTGGAACTAGCTCTGTAGACCAGGCTGGCCTCGAATTTACAGAGATCCGCCTGCCTTTGCTTCCCGAGTGCTGGGATTAAAGGCGTGCGCCACCACTCCTGATAGCACAAAACATTAATTCCAGCATTTGAAGATTAAAACATATTTCATGTGCATTGCTGTTTTGTCTGCAAAGTTGATGCCAGATCCCCTGGGACTGGAGTTACAGATAGTTGTGAGCTGCCAGGTAGGTACTGGGAATTGAGCCCGGTTCCTCTGGAAGGGCAGCCAGTGCTCTTAACTGCTGAGCCATCTCTCCATCTCTCCAAGAAGAATTCTTTTTTTTTTAATATTTATTTACTTATTATGTATACAATATTCCGTCTGCATGTATGCCTGCAGGCCAGAAGAGGGCACCAGACCTCATTATAGATGGTTGTGAGCCACCATGTGGATGCTAGGAATTGAACTCAGGACCTTTGGAAGAGCAGGCAGTGCTCTTACCACTGAGCCATCTCTCCAGCCCCCCAAGAAGAATTCTTTAAACCTAGAAATCTCTCATTCTTGGGGCTTTCTCTCACTTCTCTTTCTCGTTTTTCTGTGGTGATTACTAACAAAGCCTGCTTCTGCTTTTGTATAAACAGTGGGAGGGAGCGCTGGAGAGATGGCTCAGTGGTTAAGAGCACTTGCTGTTCTTACAGAGGACCCAGGTTGGGTTCTTAGCTCCTACATGGTGGCTTACAATTGCCTGTGACTCCAGTTCCAGGGGATCTGACACCCTCTTCTGACCTCTGTGGGCACCAGATATACACCTGGCACAAGTCACACATGATGGCAAAGCACATAAAATAAAATAAGTAAATCTAAATAGAATTTATTTTTATTTAATGTGCATTGGTGCATGTATGTCTGAACCCCTGGAAGTAGAATTACTGACAGGTGTGAGCTGGCATGTGGGTGCTTGGACCTGAACCTGGGTCCTCTGGAAGAGAAGTTAGGGCTTTTAACCACTGGGCCATCATTCTAGCCCATGAATTTTTTTAAAAGTAAAGCTGAGCCGGGCAGTGGTGGCGCACGCCTTTAATCCCAGCACTTGGGAGGCAGAGGCAGGCGGATCTCTGTGAGTTCGAGACCAGCCTGGTCTACAAGAGCTAGTTCCAGGACAGGCTCCAAAACCACAGAGAAACCCTGTCTCGAAAAACCAAAAAAACAAAACAAAACAAACAAAAAAAAAACAATAAAAGTAAAGCTGAATGTGGTAGTTACATACCTGTAATACTATCACTTGGAAGACTGAGGCAGGAGATCGTGGCTCATCATGGTTCAGAACAGCCTGAGCTACAAACTCCATCTCAAAAATAATAAAACAAAATACAAAATGATAAAAAAAAGAAATAAAAAATAAAAAGAATCTAAAAACAGAAGAGGCAGGAAAAGCCTCCAGGAGTCCCGTGGTTCTCAGTGTGGCCATCCTCTAAAGCCTAGCTCAACCTGCAGGAGCCTCCCTCCCTCTGCCTCTGTGACCTCCTCCCCTCCTCTCTCCTGTCCTCTCCTCCTTCCCTCCCCTTCACTCTCTCCTCCCTCCTCTTCTTTTCCCCTTCCCCTCTCCTCCCCTGCTCTCCTCCTGTTCCCCTCCCTTTTTTCCTTCTCTCCTTTCCTCTCTTCCTCTCCTCTCCTCCTGTCCCCCTCCCTTCCCTCCTTCCTCTCCTCTCTTCCCCTCATCCCCTCCCTTGTTTCCTCTCCTCTCCTCTCTTCCTCTCCTCTCCTCCTGTCCCCCTCCCTTCCCTCCTTCCTCTCCTCTCTTCCCCTCATCCCCTCCCTTGTCTCCTCTCCTCCTGTCCCCCTCCCTTCCTCCTTCCTCTCCTCTCTTCCCCTCATCCCCTCCCTTGTCTCCTCTCCTCTCCTCTCTTCCTCTCCTCTCCTCCTGTCCCCCTCCCTTCCCTCCTTCCTCTCCTCTCTTCCTCTCCTCTCCTCCTGTCCCCCTCCCTTCCCTCCTTCCTCTCCTCTCTTCCCCTCATCCCCTCCCTTGTCTCCTCTCCTCTCCCCACACTCCTCTCATCTTCCCATTCCTCCCACCTCTCCTCCTCGACCCTTCCTTCCTCCATCCTTTTCTGATGATTCCTCTCCCCCCGCCGTGTCCCATGATCCTTGTTGAGTGGCTGTTCACAGTATCTATCTGTTAATATGAAAAGTTCCAAGCCATTATGGGAAACACTTGAGAGACAGTAGCTAGCCTCTCACCGCCAGGGTTCCCAGAAGCTGCATGAGCTCTTCTGTTTCTCCATTTGCACGTTTTCAACCACAGGGAAGTCTGTTCCCATCCCATCTTATTTCCTAAAACAGGAGGCGGATGTTAGGAGAAATTGTGTCTTGTTTTGTTTTTGACATAGAGTCTCGTGTTGTCTGTCTATACCGGCTTTGAGCTTTGTAACCCAGGATGACCTGCGCTCCTGTCCTCCCAAGTGCTGAGGCTATGGGGGTCCTAGGGAGGTAGGTTTCAGCTCTGTATCACTAGAAGGGTCCAGGCAGAGGACTGCAGGGTACCTGGGGTGGGCAGGGCTATATATCTTCTTCCTCAGACCCAAGGGTAAGAGTGTATCCCTCCTGCGACACCACAAACTACACGAGGAGCTGCGACACCCTGTTTGGACTTGGCGTACGGTGGGGGAGAGATCTGGGCACATCACAGCTGGGCACGTGGGACAGTTTTTCTCCATTCAACATCTTCCTGGCTTGAAGCAGTGGTACATGCCTGTTATCCCAGAACCTGGGAGGAGGAGGCAGCAAGAGCGGCAGGTGCTCAGAGGAGCCATCCTTGGGTACACAGTGAGCTCAAGGTCAGCCTGGGCTACATGAAATCTGCCTAACAACCCAAAACAAGGTAGAGGATGCAGCTCACTTGGTAAACTCCTTGTCTCAAAGGCAAGAAGCCTGGGCTTCGAGCCTTAGTACCCAATAAAGTGAGCGTGGTGACCACACACACTGGGATATAGAGGCAGGAAGAGCCGAAGTTCAGGTCATCCTCAGTTACAGAGTAAGTTTGAGTATAGTTTGTGCTATGGGAGACACACCCACACATACATGCACATAGCACAGCACACACACACACCACGCCGCACCCACATATACTACACAGACACCACACCACACACAGACACACACACATGCACATACACCACACACACACCCCATACACCCCCACACTCACACTATATCACACAAACATTACACAAACACACATCATACCACATACATGCACACATCATACATATGCACATACCACACACACACACGGACATACCACATACATACCACACACTACACCCACACACCATAGCACACACATATACCTCACTACATCACACCATACCACACACACTCACACCACACCACACACACGCACACACACGCGCACATATACACACCTAAGTCTTCTGGGTATCAAATGATCAAGTCTTGAATTTAGACATGCACCATGAGACCAAAGTAGGGCTTGTCCTGGGTGATTTTTTTGTCAACTTGACCCAAGCTAGAGTTACCTAGACCCCTTACTTGAGGACACATCTCCATCAGATTGCCTGTTTGTGGTGCATTGTTTGGACTTACGATTGACGTGGGTGGGTCCAGGCTTTAGGGTGGGGGTAGTGGGGACCCCAGGCAGGTGATCCTGAGTTGCATAAGAAAGCAAGTTGAGCTGGTGGTGGCACTCACCTTTAATCTAGGCGCTCTGGAGACAGAGGCAGGTAAGTTCCACTCTGTGAGTTCAGGGCCAGCCTGGTCTACAGAGTGAGTTCCAGGACAGCCAAAACTACACAGAGAAACCCTGTCTCAAAAAGAGAGGGGGACGGAGGGAGAGAGGAAAGAGAGAGCGAGCTGAGGAAGCCATTAGGAGCAAGCAGGCCAGTAAATTATGTTCCTTTATGGTCTCTGTATCAATCTCAGCCTCTGGCCAGGAGTTGCAGCTCCTGATGGAGTGTGATCCCAGAACTGTAGGCTGAAATCATCCCTTTCCTCCCCAAGTTGCTTTTGGTCATGGTGTTTTATCACAACAGTAGAAACTTTAACTAAGAAAGGATTCAATTTTAGGCTTGAGGAGCAACGTCAAGGGGATTAAGCCCTTACCTAAGGCTTCCCAGGGCGTTAGTGAACACAGCTGGGCGACTACCAAGGCTTGCGGGGCGGGGCCTCAGGGGCGGGGCCTATGCTGGGCGTGGCTTCCGTGCTCTCCACTGCCGAGCTGTGGTCTCGTCTGAGCGCTAGCCCTACGACCATGGAGCCGGTGCCGGTGCCGCTGCAGGACTTCGCGAGCCGCCTGGACCCCGCCTCCCTTCCGCGCGTGCTGCGTGTCTGCTCCGGAGTCTACTTTGAGGGTAAACGGGCCCTGGGGGGAAGCAGCCAGGCATGGTGGATCATGTCTGTAATCCCAACACTGAGGAGCTGAGGCAGGAGGATTGGCACGAGTTCGAGACTACTGGCCTATCTAGTGAGTTCCAGGTCAATCTGGTACAGAGTGAGACGCTGAGGAAGTTGGGGTTTGAATTCTGACGCTGCCTCTTGCCCAAGCTTCGTGAGTTCACACTAAAAAACCATCTCCCTGCACCTCGGTTTTTGTCCCATGGGTGAGGTAGTGCAGAAACTGGGTGGCAGCGAGACAAGGACAACCTGAACAACCTAGGAAATTCTGTCTCAAGAACAATTATAACAATAGATAGATAAATAAGTAAATAGAGATCACTGATCCACTATACTAGACTGCTGGACTTGCTTTTTTAATTTTTAACTTTTTTTTTTTGAGAGAGGGAGGGAGAGGAGATTTTTTGTCATAGCCCAAGCTGGCCTCAAACTTGCAGTGATCCTTTTGCCTCTGAATGCAATTGCCATACCTGACTTGCTGTTGTCCTTTTTCTTCTCTCTCCTTATCCTCCTTCCCCCTTTTCTTATCTTTTTTCCCTTTCTGCAGGGATCAACTCTGTGCTCTGAGCTCCAACCACTGAGATACATCCCAGTTCCTATAAGCACCAGATCAGCCCTCCCAGTGGGCTCTGCGCTCCTAGCCTTCTGTCTCCCTGGCCCTCTGCCCACTAGATGGTCAGATCATTTTATCTCTCAGCTTGAATGGTCCTTCCTCCAGGAAGCCTTCCTGCTTTGCCTTGCTCACCTGCTTCTTGCCCACAACTTTCCTGGTTCACAGCAGAGAAGAGACGGGCACGTCAGGGACACAGTCACCAGTTATGGCTCAAAACAGCAAGTGGCTGGGGACTGACCACTTGGGTAGTGGGAGGAGGAGAAGGGATGCCCTGGACAGAGACTTACTTGGCTGTTCTGTGGGGGGAGGAACCGTAGCCCTCAGTGAAAAGAGGGAGACAGAGCAGGGAGTGGAGGGAGATGCCGGGATGCAGATAGAACAAGCCTCTCCAGAGTGAGGGGACCTGGGTCTGCCACAGCAGCTGCCAGCAAAGTGTTCTGATGGCCAAGCGGATTCTAGACTTCACAGTGGGTCCCTCGGGTCCCCTGGAATCTGATGGGTCCTGAAGCAGTCGTCTGGGGTCTGTTTGTCCTTTCCCCAGCCCGGAACATCCTCCCAGCATCCCTTGCTCACCTCTGACACAATACTTGAGTTTCCTCATTTGATCTGCCCTGGGAAGTGGTGGCAAGTGACACAAGTTGGGGTGATGTGACTGGGGACATGTCACAGGTCATGGGTACATAAACAAGATTACGTGGACGGCAGATGGCCGCAGGGGCAGGGCAGGGCAGTGTGGTGGAGGAGCCGACCATGTGGTTAGGAATTCCAGATTTGGAGGGAAATACCTGGACTTAACACCCCAGGTTCTACCTCCTGCTGCCCTTCCCTCCCAATTCCACGTTCCCGAGATGTTGGACATGGAACCCGGTTGTATAGCCTAGACGGTATCTAGCACGAGCTAACGGTCTTCATCCTTGTTCTGGTTTAAGACACGCTCTTCCTGTGTAACTCAGACTTCTCCTGCCTAAGTTTCCTGAATGGTGTGGCTACAGACGGATTTCGTCACAGCCGACCTTGTGAACTTGTTTTCACATTTATTTATGAATTTGTTAGTGTGTAGGGAGCATGTGCATGCCATGGTTTCTGTGTAAAGGTCAGAGGACAACTTTCGGGAGTCAATTTTCTTCCACCATGTGGGACTTGGGGATGAAAGTCTTTTCCTGCCAATCTCTTGCTGGCCCCTTTTTGATATTTTTGAGCGAGGGTTTCCTGTACCCCATGCTGGCCTAGAACTCCCTATCTAGCCAAGTTCTTGGTCTTCTTCTTTACCAATCATTTGGAGGAGCTGACACCCCTTCTCTGAGCCGTCATTTTTAGGAAAGAGAAACTGCTCTCTCACTATTTATGTAGCTGAGGGAAATTGCTGGCCCCTGTTCCCCTAAGGGCAGTCATGCATTGGCAGCAGTTTGTGCAGCACCAAGTATATATAACTCCGCAGCTAATGCAGGGCCAGGTATATATAGTGTCCTCTGCCGGAAGGTCCACGCCCTGACGCTGGGACAGCTGTGGGTGTTTTTTTTTTTTTTTTTTTTTTTTTTTTTTGGTTTTTGGTTTTTCGAGACAGGGTTAGCTGTGGGTGTTTTGCTGAGGGCGTTTTGGTGAGGTTCGCACCAGCTTCTTACGGCCACGTGAGCAGCCCTGCTAGGGCTATCCCGGGAGAAGGGCTGTCTTGTGGCCTCAAGGCCTTGGCACCCGCAGTTTCCCATCGCCTGCCAGCCAGATGGGGGCCTTGCACACGCTGCACTGTGAGCTCTTTCGGGTGTATCTTCCATCCTCCAGTGTTCTCCAGGGCGTTAACCCTTTGCATCAGGTAAGTGGGCTGCTGAACTTGGAGGTGGTGCTCAGAACCTTAGCCTCCTCATTTTCCTCTAAGAGGAACTCACTGGGCTGGTGAGCTGGCTGGTGTGTGTGTGGGTGGGTGGTCACTGCCAGCCCTTCCAGCCTGAATTCAATCTGCAGCTCTCGCATGGTGGAAAGAGAGAACTGGCTCCCAAGAGTGGCCCTGATTTCTACACCCATGCTGTGGAATGTACTCAAGATGAACGTGACTGAAACAAACCAAAAAGTTAAAAGCAGTTCATTTGGGCTGGGGACATGGCTCAGTTGGTAGGGTGCTCACCTACCGTGCGTGAGCCCCTCGATTTGATTCCTAATGCTGTGAAGAACTTGGCATGGTGGCACACCACCTGTCCTTCAAATACTCGGGAGGCAGAGGCAGGAGGGTCAGAAGTTCCATGTCGTCCTTGATACAGAGAGTTCCAGGCAAACGTAATAAATAAATAAATAAATAATTAAAGCAAGCAAGCATGTAACTCACTCATCTGAAGTCGAAAGCGGGGTGCTGGAAGAATGAGGTACCCACCTGGCCCTCTGTATCTACCTAGGGCATCCCTACCCAGAGCCTGATTTTGTAACTGTCAAGGGGAGTTGGGGTTCACAGGGTTGTTTACTGCTTCATTGGTAGAACACACCCCCAGGGGATGCAATGATGTTGAAAATGGACCAGCGCTGATCACACTCACGTTAGGACGCTTGAATTGGGAGAAAGGGCGGGCACCATGAGGGCTGCCTCCCATGGCCAGTGTAGACGGGGTAAGCTGTCTGAGGATGGCCGGCTGAGCCAGATGCCTTTTAGCAGGGAAAGACAAGGAAAAAAACTGAGACTGCAGCTGGGGGTTGAGTACTTACATATGCATGGAGCCCCGGGTTCAGTCCCCAGAACTTTGAAAGAGAGAGAGAGAGAGAGAGAGAGAGAGAGAGAGAGAGAGAGACACTCAAGGCAGCAGGGACAACCAAGCAGAGTTTAAGGAACAGGTCACACACCGCCAGAAACATAAACCAAGTCTGTGTCTCCACAGGTTCCGTCTATGAGCTTTCTGGGAATGAGTGTTGCCTCTCCACAGGGGACCTGATCAAGGTCACCCATGTCCACCTCCAGAAGGTGGTCTGTGAAAACTCAGAGACGGGTCAGGCCTTGGAGCTCAACCCCAACTTCTCAGGTAAGGTGTGCACCTCTGCCTCCCCACTTGCCCTGGCATCCGCTAGGCCTCTCTCTCTTCAGCCACTTGTGGGTGGGTTTGCCACACCCAGCATTTCCGCCCCTCTGGCTTTGCATAGCAGAATGGCACGTCTGTTGTTCCATAGCTGCAAGGCCAGGGGCACGTTCAGGGGGCATCCTTGAGGATGCCCTGCGCCTGGCACGGCCCTGCCCTCTTCTCATCACGTCTGCATCCACGTTTGGTCTCTGTTTGCTCACACGTTTTCATCAGATATCGACCGACACCAATGTGTGCCAGGCCCTCTGGGGAGCTGGGTGTGTGGACTCAGGATGAGCTAGGCCCTTCTGGGGTGGCAGGGAGAGAGGGCAAGGGTCCATGAAGCAGGCACCAACATGGGTGGGGTGGGGGCTGGCCTTCAAGGTCTGCAGATCCAGGAGCAAGAGGTGGTCCCCAGATAAGGGAGTGTGGCATTCAGTGCCTAAGAAATCCCAAGGGAAACAGGTGTGGCTGCACAGGCCTGGATTCTAGCACAGGGGAGGCAGAGGCTGCCCAGCAGGAAATCAAGGCCAACCTTAGCTACGTATCGAGTCAGTGTAGGATGCATGAGACGCGGTACATGAAGTCCTGGGTCCTATCCCAGCACTATGTAAACCAGCTGTGGTGTGGTGGCACATGCCTGTAATCCCAGAATTTAGACAGCGGAGGCAGGAGGAGCAGAAGGAGGTCTCATGCCTGGGAGACGATCAGCAGCTGCCAAACCTGGTGATTCGAGTTCAATTCCCAGAACCTGCCTGGTAGGAGGAGAGAGTGACTCCTACAAGGAGGCCTCATCGGACCTCCACACAGGTGCTGTGCACGCACATGCGTGCATACATATACTAGGTACATGTGATTTCTTTTTTTTTTTTTTGGTTTTTTCGAGACAGGGTTTCTCTGTGGTTTTGGAGCCTGTCCTGGAACTAGCTCTTGTAGACCAGCCTGGTCTCGAACTCACAGAGATCCGCCTGCCTCTGCCTCCCGAGGGTTGGGATTAAAGGTGTGCGCCACCACTGCCCGGCTAAAGATTTATTTATTATGTATACAGTGTTCAGCCTCCATGCCTGCAGGCCAGAAGAGGGCATGAGATCTCATTACAGATGGTTGTGAGCCACCATGTGGTTGCTGGGAATTGAACTCAGGACCTTTGGAAGAGCAGTCAGTGCTTTTTTTTTTTTTTAAATATTTATTTCTTTATTATGTATACAATATTCTGTCTGTGTGTATGACTGCAGGCCAGAAGAGGGCACCAGACCTCATTACAGATGGTTGTGAGCCACCATGTGGTTGCTGGGAATTGAACTCAGGACCTTTGGAAGAGCAGGCAATGCTCTTAACCTCTGAGCCATCTCTCTAGCTACGTGTGATTTCTTTATTTCATTTTTTTTTTTTTTGAGACAAAGTCTCACTGCATAACCTTGGTTGGCCTAGAACTCCCATGTAGATCAGACTGGCCTCAAAGTCATAGTGATCTACCTCCCTTTGCCTCCTGAGTGTTGGGACTAAAGGCTTAAATATACCCTTAAAAAAAAAAAAGATTTATTTATTTATTTTGTATACAACATTCTGCCTCCATGTATGCCCACACGCCAGAAGAGGGCACCAGATCTCATTACAGATGGTTGTGAGCCACAATGTAGTTGCTGGGAATTGAACTCAGGACCTCTGGAAAAGCAGGCAATGCTCTTAACCTCTGAGTTGTCTCTCCAGCCCCAAATGTACCCTTTTTTGATTTTTTTTTAAAGTAAAGATCTCTTTGAATTTCAAGGCCAGCCTGAGATCCATGAGACCCTCCCTCAAAAGCGAGCAAGCCAGCCAAGCAAGCGGAAAAAGTAACTCCCAAGGGGTTCATTATTACGGAACAGGAGGTGTGCTGTCTGTGGCTGGGAGCAGCCTGGGTGGAAACCACGATGCCACCGGCCTCAGCTTCCTTCTCTATTATGAGCCCTTGGACTTGATGTGGGGAGGTCACACGCGTATATATAGAGTAGAGGAGGGGCTGGCACTGAGCAGGTGCATCCTGAAGGCACACAGGCACCTACACACACACACACACGCTTACAGCGGTGGCAGGAGGTGAGCAGAAGTGGATCCTCTGGGTTGGACTGACTGACACACTTTCTCTTGTGAAAGTGCTGAGGGTCCTGGGGCTTCGCAGAGATTCAAATGATGACTAGCCTGTGGTTTGAGGGCTCTTTCTTTCTTTCTTTCTTTCTCTCTCTCTCTCTCTCTCTTTCTTCTTTCTTTCTTTCTCTCTCTCTCTCTTTCTTCTTTCTTTCTTTCTCTCTCTCTCTCACTCTCTTTTTCTTTCTTTCATTCTTCCTTCCTTTCCTTTCCCTTTCTTTCTATTTTATTTTATTTTACTTTACTTTTTGAGACAGGGTCTCTCTGTGTGGCCCTGACTGTCCTGGAACTCACTCTGTAGACCAGGCTGCCTCTGCCTCTCTCTCCTGAGTGCTGGGATTAAAGGGGTGTGCCACTCCTGGCAAGGACTCTGTTTTTCTACAGAAGATTTCCTTGAACTCTCAAATACCTGCAACTAGATCTAAGAACTCTGCACACATACACACGCAGGTTCATCACCCACAGAGAGATGCACATACAGGCCCATGCCTACACACACACACACACACACACACATTCATCCATGGGTGTGTAGACATGTATTTTGGGATGCTTTGGCAGTAGATTGTGGGAGTGGCACCCTTTTCCAGCTACCAATCCCCTAGAGAACTTTTGCTCACAGAACCACTTAGGGATCAGTGACCAAAGTCAGGGGCCTTAATTTCAGTACCATGCTGTTGTCTAACCTATGACTTACATCCAAAGTCCACCAGCCGCTCCGTGGATGCCACTGGCAGTAATCCCTCCATCCTGAGTGTAAACTCAGGTAACAGCCATGTTCTGCTTTCTTGTCCAGTTCATTTCAGCCTGGAATATGCCTTAGGCTTTGTCTTTATATGAGTATTGTGTGTGTGTGTGTGTGTGTGTGTGTGTGTGTGTGTGTGTGTGAAAGGGAGAGAGAGAGAGAGAGAGAGAGAGAGAGAGAGAGAGAGAGAGAGCGCCCCTCTGTGTAGTCTTGGCTGTCCTGGAACTCACTCTGTAGACCAGGCTGGCCTTGAACTCACAGAGATCCACCTGCCTCTGCCTCCCAAGTGCTGGGATTAAAGGTGTGTGCCACCACACTAGGCCATATGGCAATTTTTTTTTTGAGACAGGGTCTCACTATGTCATCCTAGCTATTGGCTATGTAGACCAGGCTGGTCTTGAACTCGTAGAGATCCACCGGCTTCTACCTCCTGAGAACAGGCATTAAAGGCATGCTTTAAGAATCCAGGCCAACACATATTTTCAGCACTGGGGTTTAGCTCAGGGCCTCTCACATGCTAAGCAAGCACTCGGTCACGGAACTACATCCGTGTCCAAGACCAGTATTTCTGTAGAATGTCATTCAGTCCAGACTCCGTGATACTTTCTTGTTTAGATTTGAGTGGTGAGATTGGGACAGAAAACAACTGCTCCCAGAAGTCGGGTGATGTACCAGCCTGGTGGCAGGATGTCTGGGGACCGCAGGAGTGGTGGGTGGTCCTGGCAGACTAACTGAGGGGTGGGTGTCAGAGAGCACCTGGACCAGTAGCTCTTGGGGCTCCAGTTTGGGAGAAAGACAATGGTGATGCCTCGGGATGGGGAGACAGACTGGATGTGTGGGCTTGCAGCTACAGGGGAGGTGTCTGGAGGGAAAAGGGATAGGTTGGCCAAGTTGGAGACAGAGAGAGGTCAGAAAAGTGGGAGAGCAAGGGAGGTGTGTGCGTGTGTGTTAGAGAATGTGCCCTTACTCTCTTCTGTGTCTCTCGTGACATCGGTGTGTCATTCCTGTTCCTGATTATCTGTTCACACACTGTCCTCCAGCCTCCATCCACAGACCTTTGGTCTAGATGTCCAGATGCAGCCCCAGGAGGGATGCTGGCTGGGTTGCCTGCAGAGCCTGCCCCAGCCATGGCCTGCCCACCCCCCATTCTTCCCCTCTCTGCTGACTCCTGTAGGCCTCTTCAGTACACTCAGCAGCCTGCAGAGCTACAGGACCCTGGAGGAGCTCATCTCTGCCGTGCCCCAGAGCCCCACACAGTGGCCCATTCACTTCAAGTCAACTGAAAGAATTGTCACGGAGGCCGGGATGGTGCCTGTGGACCAACCCTTCAGGCTTGAGGCTGTGGAAGTACACCATGGGACCCGCTATGCACGCTGTGTCCAGGACTCAAAGACCCAGGAGGTCATCCTCTATCTGCCCCTTTCCCAGAAGGGACCCTTCTGCAGATGCAAGCCTGGTGCCCCACAAACCCTGCTCCAAATCCTGCAGGACCCAGCTATGAAGGACCTCATGTTTACCTGCCCCAGCCTACCCTGGCGCTCTGTGATCCTGAGGCCCCAGTATATGTTGCAAGCCGTGATGCACAGTGAGTTCCCTGGGCAGTGGGGAGCGGAATGGCGGGGAGCTGCACAGTACAAAGTTACCGCCAACTCCATGCACAGTCTGGGGGCTCCAGCTGGCTCATCCAGTGTCTGCCATGTCACAGAATACAGATGCCCAACGAAACGGAAATGTGGTATAAGAAGAGACAGGAAAATAGGTTAAGCACACCCAAGGTCCCACATGCTTTACAGGGTTGGCCAACGTTAGCTTCCATGCTAGCTAGGGCTGTGGAGATGCTGTCTCAAAACTGAAAAACGAAAGAACTGATTAATTTAAAGGGGGCAGCAAGGTAGCTCAGCGTATAAAAGAATTTGCTGTGAAAATTGTCCTCTGACCTCCATGTTCCCTTCAGCACACACACGCACACACGCGCACACACACGCACGCACACACTCACACACACACACACACATGCACGCACACACACATACGCACACACACACACACATGCACGCACACACTCACACACACACACTCACACACACACGCGCACACACACACGCACACACACATGCACGCACACACACACACATGAACGCACACACTCACACACGCACTCACACACACACACACACACATGCATGCACACACACACACACCAATAATAAAATGATCTGTTTTCTAGAGAGCACGAGTGGGGTGGTGAGATGTCTCGGCAATTAAAGATGCTCTGCCACCATCAAGTGCCAGTTCCATCCCTGGGACTGGCATGGTGGAAGGAGAGACCTGACTTCTGCAAGTTGTCCTTTGACCTCTACACTCACACCGTGGCATGAACGCATACATATGCAGGTGTACAGACAGACAGACACACACACATAAATAAGTGAATAAAAAACAAAATCAAAGAGTTTTTTTTTAAAATAGTAAAATCAATAAAGGAGAAAGGAGCCAGGCAGTGGTGGCGCGGGCTTTTAATCCTAGTAATCAGGAGGCGGAGGCAGGCGGATCTCTGAGTTTGAGGACAACCTGGTTTACAGAGTGAGTTCCAGGACAGCCAGGGCTACACAGAGAAACCCTGTCTCAAATAAATAAAAAATAAGCAAACAAACAAACATAAAAGAGGCGGCCGGGGCCTGGTTCGCTGTGGAGTTAGCGAGCACTTGAGCTCCAGTGCTGCCAAACATGAGTGAAACGAAAGAATTGTTTTTAATGTTTTGATCACTTTTAGTGATTGTTTTAGTGTTTTGATCACTTTTTGGTTTGTTTTGTTTTTTGTTTTTCGAGACAGGGTTTCTCTGTGTTGCTTTGGAGCCTGTCCTGGAACTAGCTCTTAGACCAGGCTGATCTGGAACTCACAGAGATCCACCTGTCTCTGCCTCCCGAGTGCTGGGATTAAAGCCACCACTGCCTGACCCAAAAATAATTTTTTTCTGCCCAAAAAGATTTTTTTTTTTAGTTTTTCGAGACAGGGTTTCTCTGTAGCTTTGGAGCCTGTCCTGGCACTAGCTCTTGTAGACCAGGCTGACCTACAAGAGCTAGTGCCAGGTTAACCAACTTTTTTTTTTTTTTTTTTTTAGTGAGAGAGTGTGATATACCCCAGGCTAGTCTCCAACTCCTAATCCTCCTGCCTCTACCTCCCAGGTCAAGTGCTAGAGCATATGAATGTGATCGTTCCTGTTTCCTTTTTGTTTTGTTTGTTGGTTTTTTAAAAATACTTTTTTTTTTTTGGTTTTTCGAGACAGGGTTTCTCTGTGGCTTTGGAGCCTGTCCTGGAACTAGCTCTGTAGACCAGGCTGGTCTCGAACTCACAGAGATCCGCCTGCCTCTGCCTCCCGAGTGCTGGGATTAAAGGCGTGCGCCACCACCGCCCGGCTTTAAAAATACTTTTGAAAATTAGTTATCCTCTTTTTAGAGACGCATACCCATGGCACGGCAAAGTAGATTTTATTTTGTTTGTGGAAAAGAAACGGAAAAGGAAATGCCCTCCCAGCTCCCCTTGAAAAGGCAAACTCGAGGAGATCTGTGTGCCCTATTTTCCTAGCACAGGGATTTTCTCTGCTGGAGTTAGAGCTCCCCTAGCTACCCTTCTGCAATATTATGACCTCCTCAGTTAGCACGTCATGGCCTTGACCTCCTGGCCATCCTGCTTCCGTCTCCCTGCTCTGGGGTTGTAGTGGGCACCATCACACCCGGTTAATGTGTTTTCTTTTGATTTTTATAAGGAGTTTTCCAGAATCATTGATTCTGTGTGTATGGGTGTTTTGGCTGCATGCATGTCTGTGCACCACGTGTGTGCAGTGCCCGTGGAGGTCAGAAAAGAGCATCAGCTCCACCTGGACCTGGAGTTATCCTGTCAGGCGGCTCACAACCTCCTGTAACTCCAGCCCCTGCAGGACCCAACTGCCCCGCTGGCTTCTGCCGTTGCCTGCACCCGCATGCATATGCCTACATACCGTCAAAAGTCATAAAAACAAATAAACAATTTAAAAATTAAAATTAAGAAATAAAAAGAAGTTGAAAAGAGATTATCCTGAAAAAAAAAACTAGTATAGTAGGAAAATGATTGAGATGAAACAGGACTCAAAGCTGGGGTGGAAGCCAGCACGGGGTGCTATGCTGCACCCCTGAACTGCCTCCCCTTCTCCCCACAGTGCGCCGCACCATCGTCAAGATCCCATCCACCCTGGAGGTAGAGGTGGAGGATGTCACCGCCTCCTCCCAGAACATCCACTTCATCAAGCCGCTGCTGCTGAGCGAGGTCCTGGCCCAGGGAGGCCCCTATCCTATGTCCACAGAGATCTTGGAGGTTCCTGAGGGCCCACCCATCTTCCTCAGTCCGTGGGTGGGCTCCCTACGCAAAGGCCAGAGGCTCTGCATCTATGGGCCGGCCTCACCAGCCTGGCAGGTTGTGGCCTCAAGCAAGAGCCGAAAGGTTCCCAGATACTTTATTCTCTCCGGGGCCTACCAGGGCAAGCTGAGGCGGAGGCCAAGGGAATTCCCCACAGCCTATGACATTTTGGGGGCTCTCCAACCAGGCCGACCCCTCCGGGTGGTGGCCACAAAAGACTGTGATGGGAACGAAGAAGAGAATCCTGAATTTTCTTTCCTGGCTGTGGGCGATCGGCTGGAGGTGCTGAGGCAAGGCCAGGTCTGTGGGACCCAGGGCCAGGACATAGATGTCTTGATATGCCAGCGACTGAGTGAGGAAGTCGGGGAGGAAGAGGAGGACTTGGAGGAAGAGGAGGAGATCGAGGACAAAGAACAGATTCTGCTACCCCTCTACCTCTCCGGTGGCTTCGTGGAGGAGGTGAATGATGGGCGGCGTTACAGCCTAGCAGATCTCACCGCCCAGTTCTCCTTGCCCTGTGAGGTCAAGGTGGTGGCCAAGGACGCCCGGCACCCCACTGACCCTCTGGTCTCCTTCCCGGGTCTGCGGCTGGAGGAGAAGCTCACAGAACCCTTTTTGGTGGTAGGCCTGGACTCCCAGCCAGAAATGTGCTTTGAAATCCCTCCCCAGTGGCTGGACCTGACCGTGGCGGAGGTTGAGGGGCAGCCAGGCCAGGTGGCTAGGCCACTCTCTGTCACTAGGGTGGAGGAACTATCAGAAGCCTTCTACTACAATCTCCGGAAGCTGCCAGCCTCGAAGAGCCAAGCTCCCCCGCCCAGGCCCCCAAAGAGCAAGGGTGTGAGTGAGCGGAAGCAGAGTGTACAGAGCTGCCAGGAGGACAACATGAAGGTACGCCAGGAGGACAACGTGACGGTATGTACAGACCCTAACGGGGAGGGGGGTGTGGGGGGGGTGGTGCTCACCCTGGGTCCCTTCCTTGCTTTCTGCCTGCCATGATTCTCTTTCAACTGTACTGAACTTGCAGCTCATCAAGTTCTATTCTTTGTACCAATTATTCCCAGTCAGGCCTCATAATCCTGGAGTTGTTCTTATCATCAATATTTTATCATTGCAAAAATGAGGATTGAGACTCTGACATGCCCCCAAGGTTGGACATTCTGGCCCTAAGTTCCTGGTCCTTTTCCTGTCACCTTGCATCACTCCCAAGTGGAGCATCATCTTTTTTTTCAGTAGCTCTTAGGATGGCTCCTGTCCTTGCTTGTTTTCTGTGGCTGTGATCAAACATCCGAACCAAAAGTAGCTTGGAGGGGTAAGGTTTTAGTTCACAATTCTAGGCGATAGCCTTTCACTGCAGGGATGTCACAGAGTCAGGCTTGAGACAGCTGGCCATACCATGTCCAGTCAAGAGGGAAAGAATCCGATGCATGCGTACGGCCTGCTCGCTTTCTTGCTGACTTTCTTTACTTTCATACAGTTTAGAGTCCAGCATAGGGAATGGTGTCACCCACAGTGGGCTCTGTTGTCTAACCCTGGTGGGTAGTCAAGAAAATCCCCCATAGAACATACCCACGGGCCAACATGATCTAGATAATTCCTCATCAAGACTCTCTTCCCAGGTAATTCTAGGTTGTGTCAAATTAGCAACCAAAACTAACCAGCATAGATCCTAAATCTTTCTCTGGTTGCCTGATGGTCACAGTGTTGAAACCTTCAGTGGTTTTACATGGCACCAGGGTCCTTCATGAATTGATTCCGGTCTGTTAATCAGTCTGGCTGGCCTTCCTGGGCCACTCACCCACCACCACTTCGTACTCCCAACTCCAACCACAGAAGAAGGGCTCTGGGTTGACCATGGGTCTAGTATGGGCCACAGAGTTGAGGTGACCCAAACTAGACCTATACTAGCCCCATGGCCATCATCATTGCTCCTCCTTCAGGCTTGGGGAGAGCTGGCTCCGTTCTCTTTGTCATCTTCCTGCTGTGTCCATAACTTGGAGACATGTCATTTTCCAGCCCACTGTACTGTAGTCTCTCTGCCTAAAGAGAGCTGGGCAGGGTAAGGGGGCAGAGAGCAGAAGTTCCGTATCTCCAAGGCTGGTAGGCACTGCTGAATGAGCCGAGGAGAGTCAAAGATGGAAGAGTGGGGATGCAGGCTCACACTACCCCTCTGAGCATCTTTCTTAGTGGTAAACCCAAGAAGACTTCCCCCACAAGCCCTTGTGGTAACCATTTCCTGTTTGCCTGTAGCATATTTACTTGGTAGCTGACTCCACCTATTCTCACAGTACCCCTCCCCTGCACACCCCCTCAACATTCTCTTTACAGCTGAGATAACAGGCAAGCCACCCGAGCTCATACAGCCAGGAGGATGACAGGGCTGGGTTTGAACTGGCCCTGACTGCTCTGCCTGAGTGACCTATCCAACGCATGCTTTGTGAACTCAACAAGCATACTGTTTTGAGACCTCGGGAGGCATGAATTTACTAATCATGTTGTCACGTGGCGGTGGAAGTTAAAAAGATAAGTCCTGAGGATTCTCATGAGGGGATCCTGTCCATGAGAAGCCAGGCTCAGCAAAGCAGGGCCAGTGGCCAGAGCCTGTGGCACTGTCAGGAAACTCCATCTCATGGGCTTGACTGCTGATTCTTTTTTTTAGTTTTTCGAGACAGGGTTTCTCTGTAGCTTTGGAGCCTGTCCTGGCACTAGCTCTTGTAGACCAGGCTGGCCTTGAACTCACAGAGATCCACCTGCCTCTGCCTCCTGAGTGCTGGGATTAAAGGCGCGCGCCACCACCGCCCAACTAAAGTTTTTTTTTGTTTTGTTTTTCGAGACAGGGTTTCTCTGTAGCTTTGCTGCCTATCCTGGAACTAGCTCTTGTAGACCAGGCTGGTCTCGAACTCCCAGAGATCTGCCTGCCTCTGCCTCCCGAGTGCTGGGATTAAAGGCGTGCACCACCACCGCCCGGCCTTGACTGCTGATTCTTGGACCCTTTCTGATTTCTAGTTTTTTGGATTGTTTTTGTCTTGTTTTCCTGCTCAGTCTCAAGTTATAGGATCCTACCCACAGTCTGAACCCAAGGCAAAGACCCTGGAAGACCTCCCCAAGGACAAGTCAAATCTGTACAGCAAGATTCCTGTCCACAAGAAAGACCTTAAGTCCAAAACCCAAACAAAGAATTCAGGTGAGTCCTTTGACCCATCAAGCCCCTCTCCCGCCTTTGCTGGCTCTGCCAGGGGACCCTACTGTGGTCCTAGTTTGAGAGAGAGTCAAGCTTGTATGGAGTGGCTCAGGTGGGAAGGCCTCTGGTCTTTCTTCCTAGACTCCACACCCTAACGATGAAATGACTCCCGTCCCAGATAGTGTCCTCCGATGACAAACAGGGACTGCAAAATGACTGCAGGGTCCAAGGAAAATGAACGGTGGTGTCTGGGCTGTAGAGTTAGGCCAAGCCCTTTCCTGAGGAAGCTGAAGAGGGGAAGGAACCTGCCTAAAGACAAAGATTCTGCATAACCCAGACTTTTTTTCTTCTTCTTCAGCGCTGGGCATGAAACCCAAATCCCCGAGCACGCTTGGCAAATATCCTATCATGTCACCTCCCCTGCCTGACCCAGATATGGATGACCACGACTATGAAGAAATTTGAACCCTTTCAGAAAGTCATCGAAGTGCTGGGGCAGCCACACTTCCCAGCCGCTGCTGCACAGGAAGTTGGGATACCAGCTAACTCTTGGGAGACCCGCGGCAGTCTTCAGGGACTCAGGGATTTGAAATGGGACAGACACTATTTCCACCTTGCTGTGGAATAATCCTTCTGTGCACCCTAAATATGCATTGCTCTCATTGACTAATAAAACGCTGATTGGCCAGTAGCCAGGCAGAAAGTATAGGTGGGACAACTAAACTAAGGATGATGGGAGAAGGGCAGAGTCAGGTGTCACCAGCCAGACACAGAGGGAGCAGATGAAAGTCCCATGCTAATGAAGGTACTGCCATATGGCAGAGTGTAAATAAGGAATATGGGTTAGCTTAAGATGTAAGAGCTAGTTAGTAATAAGCCTGAGCTATTGGTCAAGCATTTATAATTCATATAAGCTTCTTTTTTTAAAAAAAAAGATTTATTTATTTATTATGTATACAACATTTTGCTTCCATGTATACCCACATACCAGAAAAGGGCACCAGATCTTATTACAGATAGTTGTGAGCCATCATATGGTTGCTGGGAATTGAACTCACGATCTCTGGAAGAGCAGTCAGTGCTCTTAACCACTGAGCCATCTCTCCAGCCCCCTTCATATAAGCTTCTGTGTGCTTCTTTGGGACTGGGCGGTTGGGACAGGAAACGTCCAATTACATGATCACCATTGAGTTCCAGATTCCTGCCTCTGCCTGGTCCCAGAGGTTGCATGTGAAGTTCTCAGTCTTAGAGTTTTGGTGTTCAGAGAAGCCATTTAAGTTCTGTTCACTCCTGTGCTCAACAGTTGTTCCACAACTAGGCTCAGAGAACCAAAAGCCACCAGCTTCAGCACTGCCTGCCTTCTGGTAAAGGGAACTCAAGTCTTCATTGCCCCACCCAGTGTTTGCCACCTCCTTTGTCTGCTGTGCCACATCTGCGTCCACTCTGTGCCTGGGGACAGACAATATTCTCATGTTTGTAGATTCCAGCTCATGATCAGCACATGGTAAAGGGGCTTGTTCAAATAAACGTGAGAATTTGCTTCCAAGAACAAAATCTTAGGTAGAACTTAAGTTATCAAAATCTGTTAGTGGAACTAAGAGAGCTACTTTTCAAAGATAGAGGGACCAGAGAGATGGCTCAGTGAAGTTTCTCCCAACTACATTGTTTTTTTTAATTTATTATATATACAATATTCTGCCTACATGTATCCCTGTGGGCCAGAAAACGGCACCAGATCTCATTACAGATGGTTGTGAGCCACCATGTGGATGCTGGGAATTGAACTCAGGACCTCTGGAAGAGCAGCAAGTACTCTTAACCTCTGAGCCATCTCACCAGCCCCATTAACTGCACTAAAATGAAACCATTAATCCACATTAAATACTAATTCTTACATTGGCCTTTCTCTAGTTAAGCTTAATAAAGTGTTCTTTTTCTTTTTTTTTTAAATTATTTATTTATTTATTATGAGTACAATATTCTGCTGGTGTATATGCCTGCAGGCCAGAAGAGGGCACCAGACCTCATTACAGATGGTTGTGAGCCACCATGTGGTTGCTGGGAATTGAACTCGGGACCTTTGGAAGAGCAGTCAATGCTCTTAACCACTGAGCCATCTCTCCAGCCCTAAAGTGTTATTTTTCATGACGCCCCATTTCCCACCTGCAGTTCTAAAATTTTTCCTGAGTGGTTGAACAACTAGGTAACACTGGTAGTTTCTAAGAGCATGGGCCATATTGGCGTTCCAATGTACTGAATACCTTGGACTCCCAAACACAAGCTCTTCTACCTATACAGCAAAGCACAACATTCTGGAGGCTGGAATTCCACAGCACTCTCCTGCCTATGCTATGCCTCAGACTCCCAGTGTTTAGTAATCATGTGATCACTGAGAGCCATCAAATGACCAGGAGTCAGGGCAGTCCACTGCAAGCCTCCTGATGCTCATCTCTCCTACTGCTGGCACCTAATCAAGTTTGGGATCTAATAAACACACTGACGTGTATGTGTGTGCACGCACACATGTGCACACAAGCAAATGCAGGTGCCAGTGGCACTGGATCCCCTAGAACTGGAATTAAGACAGTTGTGAGCTGCCTGACATAGGTGCTTGGAACTGAACTCAGGCCCCCATGGAAAAACAGCAGGTGCTCTTTATCCCTGAGCCTTCTCTCTGTCTTCCTAACCCATCCTCTTTGAGGTCAGTTTTCACTATGTAGTCCTGGCTGCCTAAGACCTGGTATGTAGACCAAACTGGCTTCAGAACTCAAGAGACCCATCTGCCTCCTGAAACAAGCCATTCAATTGCTAAGTTGTCATTTGAATTCTATGGAAAGACCCACCCTGGTAAACAAAGAAATTGGAACTATGTGAAAGTATCCTAACATACACCCCACACTGGAACATTGTTTTGATTTTTCTTGTTCAGCTGGCCCTTACCTCCAGGCGTGGCTCTCCAGAGGGAAGCACCATCTAACAGAGTAAGAGCTATCAACAACCAGGGTAAGAGCTCATTTAGCAGTGCTCCACATTATGAACTCCATCCCCAGTTAGTTCCATCCACGATATCATTTACCTTTGACCTCTGTGAGCTTAGTCTCTACCACAAGAAGAGCTTTCATGAAGTCTTACAGCAGCTAACTCAGTACACGACAACACACAGTCAGCACCAACTTTAGGGGTCACATTCTTCAGTGCTGCCATGGGCTGAGCCAGCCTTGTGGATAGCAGGCAAGTGTTCCACTACTGTCAGCTATAACTCTAGCCCAAGGCCTATTCACAGTCCTTCATGGCAAGGCCACATACTTTGCCCATCTACAAGAAACCCCTGAGAAAATAAGCCTGGCGATCTGTGTTGGATCCCTGATACACGGTGGAAGATGACTGACTCTGTACGCTGTAGGGAGAGAAAACAAACTCCAGCAAGTTGTCCTGACTCCCACAGTAAGTCAATGTGAAAAACCAGCAACATCTCAAAAGCTATTACAATCAAACTGTTTTATTAAACATATGGACATTTATATTATAAACAATGCAGTGACATCTCTTCCTCTCTGCCCTCTGGTGAGGCCGCCTCACTAGAACCTCATGCTCACTTAAACCTATTTTCGGCTGTGGGCTCTTAAGACAAGGGAAAGGAAAGTGCAATTTTGAAAGTAACACGATAGACCCAAAGCGGGAAGCAAAAGTAGGCAGAAGGTAGTGGGTTCTTTTTATAGCCTTTGGCCCTAGCATCATTCATCACCTCAACAGGAAGCCTTTCAAGAACAGAAGCTCCCAAGCATGAAGTAGTTTTTTTTTTTTTTTTTAGCATGAAGTAGTTCTGCCCCACTCTCTGGGTTGTGTTTCTCTTTCAATCCCACTCATCCAGCCTGGAGTCCTGACTAGCTTACCTGGAATTTCTGTTAAGAAATCCCACCCTGGTTTACTTCCTTCTCAACTGTCTATCTCCTTTTGAACCTCTAAACATCAAACAACAAAACAGAACAGCAGTAAGTTTCATGAGGACATCAGATGAGACCTTCTCTATGAAACTTCTGTCCTAGAAGCCACTGGCCAAAACTGCAGAACTGGAGACAACAGATGATAGAAAAACAGGTCCAGCTGGAAATAGTTCAGGTACCCAAAGAGCTCCAGTTACTCTGCGTCTGTAGATTTAAAGTGATCATCATCCACGGTAGAATAAATGTGTCCCTCGTTGCATAGAAAATCCACTGCTTGCCTAGAAGGAAAAAAAAGGAGAGCCCCCACATTAAAACCAGTGCCTTTTGAATATAGCTCAACAAGCAAACTGTAGAGGCATTTCATTCGTATTTTAATAAATAAAGCTTGCCTGAGGATCAGAAAAGTAAAACAGCCACACTGGCCAGGCAATGACACACACCCTTAATCCCAGCAGTCACACTAGCTTGCTGTAAAAAACCAGCAGTAGTGGTACACGCTCTTAATCCTAGCTCTAGAGAATCTCAGTTTGAGATTCCTGGAGGGAAGATCGCCATCTTCCGACTGACATTGAGGTAAGAGACAGTGGCTGGTTGTTTTGCTTTTCTGGTCTTCATGTTGAACCCCAATATCTGTCTCTTGAGTTTTTATTACTCATGCTTCAGAAAACATCACTTGTTCTTGCATTTCTTATCTTAATTAAGAATTATTAATTTTGTTCATGGAAGTCTTTTACAGAGAAGTCAAACCCCAGGACTGAGATTATCCATGCAGACAAGGGCTACCAGGGCTGCCTCAGATCCTGGTCTCAAGTTTTTAGCCCACACAAGAACCCGAAGCCATATTCAGCTTGCACATGAAATCCCTATTGTACACAGGGTCTGAAGGCTCCCTTCCCTGGATTCAGACCCAGAATCCCATACTGAAATGCTTTTTGCTCTGCCTGTGGGCAGCAGCAGAGAAGCAGGAAAGAGTACTCAGAAGAGTGTGAGTCCTCCAGATCCTCACAGACAGTAACATTTACTCAGCGATCCTGGACCCCATCACCAGTGCTGAGACGGGCACTATCTATCACTTTACAGCACAGGGATGGGAAACTGACCCGGGCATTTCTTTTCTATCCAGACCCACCACCACACCCCACCCCCAAGACAGGGTTTCCCTGTGTAATAAACATTTCTGGCTGTCCTGGAATTTGGTCTGTAGATCAGGTTAGCCTCAAACTCATAGAGATCCACTTTCCCATGCCTCCTGAGTGCTGAGATCAAAGGCACGTACCAGCAAAGCCTATAATTATTAAATGGGCTTTTGTTTTGTTTTGAGACAGGGCCTCTAAGCAATCATGGTTGTCCTGGAACTTGCTATATAGACCAGGCTGGCCTTGAACTCAAGACACATGAGTACCATCTACTTAGATAGTCCATCTCAGTTCACTGCAGTGGAATCAGGCATCTGGTGCCTACATAGAAATCAGGTCAAAGGTGTAAGGACTGCCCAATGCCTTCCAATCAGAACAAATCAGCAAGCAGTGAACAGCGCCACCTGCGAGTCCTTCTGAAATCTCTGCACAGCTGGTCAACTTCCCTCAACAGGCTGCAGTTGACAACTTTCCTTTTGCTGTGTGTCTCACAGAATCCAGGTTGGCTCTGAACTCCTGATCCCCCCGGCTCTACCCTTCAAGTGCAGAGACACAGGAGAGCACCACCAATCTTTTTTTACATTGACTTCTCATTATCAGGGAACTGTGAACAGAGACAGTTACAACTCTGGACCTCTAGGTCATGGACAACAATACTTACTTGATTGAGGCTACAGGCATGTGCTGGAGCTGATTTCTGAGATCCTGAAAATTCAATCCTTCTGGTCTTGGGCAAGCCTTGATCAAATTCAGTACCTAACAGTTCAAATAAAGACTTTAGCAACTGCTCTGGATCAGTTTATTCGAG